AAGAAACATGCTGCTTGAAGTTAGTACAGATATTAAGACCCACTTCAAAGGCTGAACACCCATACATGCACCCATCAAACTCTTTACAAAGAGATTAGCACACATCTTCCCCCTCAAAGACTGCAGAAACAGCAAAAAAACACGTTTGTACAGTTATAATTGATGTCATTCTCTCCTGAAAACTCCCCGCTACTAAAACCACAGAAAACTGCAGTGAGGCCTCAGTGCTGCCTTATGAAGACCAGAGAGATATGGTGATGTGAGCTCCACGTAGTCATCAAAACCTGCAGCTGGGCTTAAATGGCTATTTTCTTCCTAACACAAGAGTCTAGAGGAAGTCCTGTACCACTCTTCTTCTCTGAAAGTGATCTTTCAGACTACACTTTAAACCCCAAATCTCTGCACCTACATTAACAAACTGACCTTAGCCTATCAAAATACAAACTTCTGTCCTTTCTAAAGACAATGAAGTAAACTTTTGATAAACCTAAAATTGGGCACTGCCAGGAGTTACCCTAAAATTATGCTTTATAAGTTTCTTAATGAACGTGATGCAGTAAAAAATAATTTTTCAGTACGCTCAGTTTTAAAATGCTCTCCTTTCATGCCTCCTATTTCATGACAGATATCAGTACTATCATTAGGGTTTCATCAATTAACAGTGTACTTGTGGCTGTCATTGTGGTAAGCAGACACAGATTTAGGTGTTTGAGGAAACAGCAATGAAAATAGTTTCAGAAACTAGCATTTTGATGCCTTAACTGCAGGTTTATTGAATTTACATCAGTAGTACCCAGCTGTCAGGTAAACTCTTAGGATATAGTACAAGCAGAACATTCTAGCTGCTTTCCATTTTAAAAAGCAGATTATTTGCACATTTAATTAGCAATCACATCTTTATTTGTAGTTACCACAATATGAAAGGTTTATATGCAGAATTCCAGCTTCTCTTTCTGATCTATATATCCTTGGATGCAATTGTTCTCAAGAACTGTCAAATAATTAAATTTTGTCATAATCTAACAAGATTTATAATGATATCCTGGTTTACATCTGCCTCTGCTAGGACATGAGAGAAACCATCTGGTTCTGGGTACTTCCTTTGCATCTGCAGTGTTTCAGATGTGCAGGTGCACAGCATAGCTGCTCCCTGCAGGAGTTCCAGTGTCCATTCCAGCCCACACAAACCCACAAACTGCCACACAACAGCACAACAAAACAAGCAGAGCTCCCCAGTTTGAACCGTACGGGAACATGTGACTTTGAATATATTCAGAGGCAAAATGTGAGCACAGCTCCTTGCCCTGCAGAGCTGTTAACAGCTCCAGAAGCTATCTGGAGAAAGTGTTGTGTTCCCTGTTCACGCTGCAGGCTGCAGAGGCATTCACTGAGCAGCCGAACGTCTCAGCAAGGGCTTGTTTTGTGTGGCACTGCAGGTCTTCTCCTGCATCCCTGATCCAGACCAGGCTTTTAGAGCACATCAGCAATGACAGGGAGAGCTGGTCCAACACAGCAATCTGTGCACTCAGCTGCTCTCTGCTTTCCCAAGTCACACAGAATGGCATAGGACAAGAGAAAATGGCCTCAAATTGTGCCAGAGAAGGTTTAGATTGGAGATTAGGAAAAGTTTGAGTGTTATAAAGCATTGGAACAGGATTCCCAGGGAAGTGGTGGAGTCACCATCCCTGGAGAGATTTAAGACATGTAGATGTGGAATAGAGGAGCATGGGCTGGTGGTGGGCTAGGCAGTGCTGGGGGAATGGTTGTACTCAATGATATTAGGGGTCACTTCCTACCTAAATGATTCAATGTGTCATTTGAGCCCTGGATACCTCAGTACCTCTTCAGTAACTTCCATAGATAACCAAAGTACAGAAAAGCACAGCAACTGATTTCCTCTGTTAGAGCTGTTCTTGCAAAATTTTATTCCATGCTTATAGAAGAATCAAGGATGAGTGTCCTTGTTTATAATTACCTTGTGAAGCAATGCTGCTGAGAAAATAAAGATACTATAAAATGTATAAAACCTGTTAAAATTAGGATTGCTTGAAACAACAGTAGGATTTCAGGGTGGTGATGTAAAATATCAGAAGTTTTGATGGAACTAAAAATTATCACTGTGTAAAAGCCATCTCCCAACACTGATGAGACACTGACATGTTCAAGAAAATGAAGCCTAAAATAAAAATCACCATTTAATTCTGTATATTTATGTAACCTATTTGTTTTCTAAATTCTAAAAGGATTCATCCAAACATTAAGTGCTTATGAGTTTCAATGTCCTTTTGAGCAACAGAATAACCAATCACATGATCCTATTTTTGGTCATTCACGTGATTTATGATTCTAAGCTTGTGCTCTCAACGTATGACACTGCCATTCACACTATCCAGAGCTGAGAGCACTTCACAGTGTTTTGCTGGTGTTGATAGCTTTATTAAGGAAGTACTACCACTGGCTGGCTAATTCTAATAAAAGGGTGAAGGCCAACTTTTTTTTCATTTAAGTACTTGCTTATTTCTTTAGGGGGGGTAGTGGAGCAGAGACATAAAGGTTTTGATTTAGAAGCCATTAGGATTAAAAAAAAAAACAAACCCAACACAGCAGCTATATTTATTTTTTAAAGTTTTACTCAATTGCTAGTGAGAGAAAAGGAAATTAGGAAGAAAAAATCAATAGGGCTGGCTAAAAGAAGTAGGTAAACACAGAAAGTTTAGCATAAATATTAACAATAGTCTTCTGAATAGTCTGAGAGGAAGACTGAAGTTCTTGTGATGAAGAAATTGAGAGATAGGGAGAAAAACTGTCTTGGGTTGCAATGCAAGATGTAACCAAAAGTACATACTCTAGCACTAGCTGATGAAACCAGGTGGGGCAGTTTTCTTTATCTCTCCCATGACCCATGCCTCATAACTCCAGGGGGATATCTTCTGTTAATGGGCCATTGAGTCTCACTGCAGGACTGATAAAATTACATCATCCCATTGGGAGATGCTCCACCCAGGGGAGGAGCCAAGCATTCCTACCTGGATATAATCTGAGACTGAACACTACAGGCAGCCTTTGTCCTCTGGATTCCCAGAGGAATACAGGACCCATCTATACAATCACTGGATCTTCAGAGGAAAACTACACCCTTCTACAGGATCATTGCTTCGACAGAATCATGTCTGTCACTCCAGGAGAACTGCAGCCACCACTTAATGGGACTGCTACCAACACCCTGACCAACAGTGTCAGGTTGTACTCTGGCTCTGTCAGTGGGTTTTTTAATACAACTGCATTTTCAATTTTCCTAGTAAAGAACTGTTATTCCTATTCCCATATCTTTTCCTGAGAGCCCCTTGATTTCAATATTATAATAATTTAGAGGGGGGTGGGGTTTACATTTTTCTATTTCAAGGGAGGTTCCTGCCTTCCTTAGCAGACACCTGTCTTTTCAAACCAAGACAAAGGTACTGTAAAGCTAAAACATTGATGTAAAACATTAAAGACCTGTCTTCTAAACTAATGCTGAGTAAGAACCTACCTTATGCTTGTAGCTACAGAATCTCAATAGAGAAACTAGAAATTCTGAAATCAACTAATGAATTATAGTATATAATTAAGCATATAAGATACATGACAAATCTGACAATATAATGACAAAATCTGCCTTAAATGCTATCCTAACCATAGAAGCAATAGGTTGGAGAGAATCAGAAGTATATCCCTAGTTCCCTGCTAGCAAGGAATGGAAGACTAGGGTGAGATTTCTGACTGGTTCTGTGCCTGTAGTCCTCACAGGCACAAAACCCAATAACTCTGACTGGGAATTTTCTTGTATTCCTGGAATTCTTAATTTAGTCTTCAGGTCAGTTCACAAGAGTTATGTAACTGATCACCTAAAGTGTTCTTTTCCTTTTTTTTCTCTACTTATTTGTCATAGTAGATAATGCTGTAGGCAAGACCCAATAAGGTTTCTCATTTCAACCCTGCTAGAAACTCCCTCCTTGAGCTTTTTGCTCTGCTGTCCTGCTATAGTGAAATGAGACCTGTAACAACTTTGCAGCTTGACACTGCAAAAAAAAAGAAGTTCTTTCAGATAATATTGAAGTGTCTGTGAAAAACCAAGTTCACTTTCTAGAATTTTTAAAAGTTTAATAAGGGGATAAAAAGGGACAACATCCAGCACTGGGGTGTTTCTGGCTATAAGAACACAGTGGCAGATTATGACAGTGTTATTTATGTACTGTTACATTACTGAGGTGCATGCATATTCATGTGTTTCATACATTATTCAAACATTCTTGTGAGCTTTTTGATGTTTCAGGAACTCTTTTGCTTGGTTTTGCACTCTGACTTATTTGCACAACATCGTGTGGGTTACGTCAATATATTTTATTTCTTCCTGTGTTTCCATCCTATTGTTTCACACTCCCTGATAAGGAGTTAAATTCTTCTCCAGTGCTCTGGTTTGTGCCACTGTTATCCTATCACTTGGAGAGGTTGGTCAGCAAATGTGGAGGGAACATAATTGCCTTACACCATTCTCTTAGTTACACAGGAGCATTTTAATACTTCCTGTTTTGCTAAGGCCTATGATATAATACCATCATCACACCATTCATCTACAAGCTTTACGGTTCATACACAGATATAATATATTCATCACATTACTATTTTGACAAGCTATATGGTACAAAACTAATAGATTGTGCTACACTAATAAGCAGTTAAAAGGAGTTACAAATTGTACCATATCCAAATACTTATGATCAATAGCAACATGTAAATGCCAATACAGAAATGCAAAAGCCAATATTATATTGCCATTTTTAATGTCTTTGGCAATGGTTATGTCTAAATTTTGATGTTGAAGTCAATACTTGTGGTTTAAAGCATTTCATTTTAATGTTTGAAAAAATATTATGTAAAAGAAAAGGTTTACAGTTAACTTTGTTGGAACGTATGTTAGCATGTTCAAGAAGTGTATTCCAAAGTGGCTTGATACAGTGTACCTGAGGCTATACTCGTCCTGCCTGGCATCCACCTTTGCCTTTAACAGGTGGGAATTCCCCTTGCTCTCCCAGCAAGCCCTTGGCTTTCAATGGAAGACGTGGTGATGCCACCGCTGGGTCAGACGAACTGAGCTGCCAGCCCACGGGCTCTGCCTGGAGAGAGGGAGGGAGAGTCTTGGCTAACAAGCACTATTCCTAGCGCCGGTGTCAAACGCGCCCCCGTGATTTCCTAGGGCGAAGGCGGCATTCCCGCTGCTGGGCGCGCTCCTCCGGAGGCACGGCCGGGGCGCCCCGAGCGGCTGCGTGAGCGCCTCGCCAAAACCCGCCGGAGCGCCGAAGTTTCCCTTTCCCAAGGAAAATCCCCGCTCCCCTCCACCTCCCGCCACCGCCCGGGGCCTGCCCCGCATCCCGGTCCGGCCTCCGCCGGAG